CCACAAACTCTGCTCGTCTGGCTCCCGCTCTAACTCCCGCTCTGATGGACGGCTCTGATTGGTCGGCCGAGCCCCTCTGTGCACGTGCATGAGAGCCACAAACGAGTATTTGGCACAACGCATCATGGGAGATCATCCACTGAGCAGAACCGGGAGGACCAGACGATGCCCAAATATAGCGAGTGATATGGCGAGTTCCGCTAATCTTTCAGCGCCCGTGCGCCACTGAGCACAAACCATTTATTTGAGTACGCCGCCATCTTGGATCGCCGGGGCTTGGTAGTGCCGAGCCGGGGCAAACCAAACATGGCCACAGCAGGACGGATGCGTAGCTGAGGTCCTCAAGTCAGTTATAGAAGAATCTCCATTTTTTTTTTGAAAGATGTTGTGTTGCCGATAATTCACTCCAGCCAATCAGCTCTCAACCCAAAATGTCAAACAGTGACTCACAGGGATCTTTCATGCAAGTTTGTGAGAGATAAATGTTTTCTAATGAGATGAAGACAGCAGGTTGTGTGTTTCTGATTTGGTCTTTCTGTAGGGACAAACAACACGTGATATCTAAGAAAGTAAGTAAGTAAGTAATCTTTATATAGAGCCTTTCACAGACCAGAGTCAAAGCGGTTTACAATTGTGAACATCACTCCTCACAGAGATGGGAGCGGGGCCAGTACAGGAGGCTCATGCCAAACCTATTGTACATGTTTTTAGTGGTAGGGGATACCGTAGCACAGAGAGGAAACCTACGCAGACACAGGGAGAACATGCAAACTCCACTCAGAAAGGCCCTGTTCCGACCGGGATTCGAACCCAGGACTTTCTTGCTGAGAAGTGAGAGTGCTATCCACTCAGCCACTGTGCCGCCCAGAAAAAAAGGGGTACTTAGCTATGAAAAAAGCTAAGTACCCCAGCTTTAATTAACTATGGCTTACACGGCAAAAGGTTATGAGACAACTTTGAATTTCGAACTCTGAGAAATGAAATGAACAGAGTGATCGACATTTGGCGTTCTGTCATTGCTGTGTTTGGGAAAAGGATCGGACGGTACAAGAAATTCGTACATTTTTGACCTTGGCTTGAAATGTACTTTATGAAAACATGAACTACTTTTCCTGAGTACTCTACTACTTTCTTGTAATATGCACAACAATGACAGTGAAACTCCCCCACAGTGGGACAAATAAAGGCTTGATTACAATAGTAGAGCTTCAGACTTGAATACATCACACATACAGAACCAAACACGGCCAAATGCATTGTGGGTTTTTAGAATTAGCCGTGTTGTGTTTCCTCCTGAAGCCAAAACGCTGCTAATTGAACACAGCTCATTGCGTCTTGTCAATGATGCCATTTCCCTTCTGTGTCCTCCGCTCTACCCCCATCCTGTCGGCTCCACGCTCTTTTTCAGTGGCCTGTGTTTTTCTAATGCCAGCCAAACCCACAAGAAGCGGCAGTTTGGGACACAGGGCCAGTTTTCCATGAATGCTTCGCCCCAAAAACCTGCTCCCGACTCCAAATCAAACAGACCCTTCGAGGCCACAGCTGCAGGACGCACAGAACGCAACTTTTTGGACACTTTTGCCTTTTTTTTTTTTTAATAGAAGGCATTTTTGTAGCATGAGGAAAGATACAGTAGTGACTCTTGTACTGTTTTATTAAAGTCCGTATAATTCATCCGTCCAAAAACGAATCCGCCCGGTAACAGAAATGGAACATTAACCACAGAAATGTAATTATGTCATAAAATTCATTTAATTTGGTTTCTTACTCTGAAAACAGTTTGCCTCTAGCAGGAGTTTTTGCTTGGCAGTTTTTGGTCTCTTGTCACAGATTTATAACCGGCTTTTTTAAGACAGAGAAGTTAAAAAGATAGGACCACATTCACTTCAGCCAATCAGCTCTCAGCCCAAAGTGTCAAACAGTGACTCACAGGGATCTTTCATACGAGTTTGTGAGAGGTACATGTTTTCTTATGAGATGAAGACAGCAGGTTGTGTGTTTCTGATTTGGTCTTTCTGCAGGGACAAACTACACGTGTTATTTAGTAAAAAAGTAAAGTACCACAGCTTTAATTAATATGGCTTACACTGCAAAAAGTTATGGAAATAAATGTATCTTAATTTGAGCACATTCTGACTGAGCCTTAAACCAAGATTTGCCGATGGAACAAGACAAGACTGGGTGCAGCTCTGCACCCAGTACACAGAGCACCAGCCCCTCACTGATCCTGCTGCAGGTGGTAAGTCCACAGGAGCTGAGATCTTTCAGTCGGGGCTTCAGGCAAAGTGGGGTTAAGTGTCTTGCCCAAGGACACAACAACAGCAATCATCAGTGGGAGACTTGAAGTAGGTCTCGAACCCACAACCTTCAGGCTCAAAGGCCAATACTCTACCAACTGAGCCAATGTCACCCCTGAATTGGATAAATGAAGTTGTAAATATAGGCGTATATTTACTGTAGTATGGAGTTGGTTACCCCCAGTTTAATCCCTGGCCTTGGTCACAATCCGCTCATCGTCCCAAGCATTTTGACTTCATAATTCTAGATCTACATTCCTGTCTCTCGCCTTAAATCATATGTAATTTAATGTCTATATATTTTCAGCTCTATCAAAGTACAAAAAAGTGGTCTAAACTTAGTCAGAGGGAGCAGTGCAGCCGCCCAGACTAAAAACATATTTCTCCTCGTCTTGGGTGGCTGCTCTCCTCTGCAGTTATTGCCGAAAAAAAAAGACCTCTGACTTTCCACCGATGGCCTCGAAATAGACGCTCCGTTAGCTCTATGTGTGTGGCTTTTAATAGAGCTGTTTTATTAGGCCTTTACGACTACGCTAACACAATGGTGCGCGGAAAAGCTTTTGCAGATGTGAACGCCGAGGCTTGAGAAATGCCGTAAAAAATGCCACACCAAAAACCCAAACATTTAGCTTCCTTGTTGATCTAAGTGCGTATGAGCCACGGAGCACTGAGGCCGTTTATTCACCTTGAAAAGAAGCTAATTTAAGGTGAGATTTTCGGGCTTTCGCTGTTGGAATGAGGGAAAGTGTGAGTGATGGTGGTTCTCCTGACGGCAGCGTTGACATATGGTGAGTGTGTTTGCGTTACGGGCCGACGGGAAAGATGAGAAACAGGACTTCTGGCTATGCACGGAGTTGTTAAATGTAAATCAGAACAATGAGAGTCCATAAAGACTTCATAAATATGTGAGCGGAGGTGGAGGGGAACGAAAGACTGTGACGGATCATCTGAAGGTTCAGGAGGGCGGGGGGTGGTGGGGTGGGTTAGCTCTGTGGGGATGGGATAGTTTTGCCCTGGAGGCTCCACAGAATATCATTTAACATATGGATGAATAACCACTAACACTAGCTTCATAAACATTCTATGGAGAGAGATCCATTCCATTTATTTGTGTTCAGCCCTAAATCACATCAGCAGTCGTCTGGGAGGTCTTTACAACGGTTTTGGTTCGCAAACAGACTTAAAATGTAACTTTTCTCGTTACTCATCACTTCTTTTAACTGCATCCATCCATCCATTTTCTTCCCCTTAATCCATTTCTGGGTTCACAGAGCACCGGCCACTCACTGATCCTACTGCAGGTGGTGAGTCGACAAGAGCCTTGATTATTCAGCAGGGGCTTCAGGTAAAGTGTCTTGCCCAAGGACACAACGACAGCAGTCATCAGTGGGAGTCGTGAAGTCGGTCTTGTGATGGGCTCGAACCCACGACCTTCAGGCTCTAAGGCCAATGCTCTACCAACTGAGCCACTGTCGCCCCTGACTCGCTGACTGCCATTGACGTATTTGTCGGCGACCGGTGATTTCTGTCAAACTTCCCTGTCCGACAGGGATCGCTGGAGAACAAAACATATTTTTTGCTGAGGAAAGTAGATAGTCCAGTCTTTCAGAATCTGGTTTCATATTTCACCTCGTCAAAGTAAATATGATATTCTCAATCCATATTCTTTGGGTCTTGAAAATCCGTTATATCTTAAAAAACGGAATCAGCACCTCCAAATCTGAGGCCATGGTGCTCGCCCGGAAAAAGGTGCCTTGCCCTCTCCAGGTGGGTGGAGAGGCCCTTCCTCAAGTGGAGGAGTTCAAGTATCTCGGGGTCTTGTTCACGAGTGAGGGAAGAATGGAGCATGAGATTGACAGGCGGGTCGGTGCAGCGTGCGCAGTGATGCGGTCGCTGTATCGGACCGTTGTGGCTGCTCCCTTAGAGATAGGGTGAGGAGCTCAGTCACACGGGAGGAGCTCGGAGTAGAGCCGCTGCTTCTCCACGTCGAGAGGAACCAGTTGAGGTGGCTCGGGCATCTGTTCAGGCTGCCTCCTGGACGCCTCCCTGGGGAGGTGTTCCGGGCACGTCCCACCGGGAGGAGGCCCCGGGGAAGACCCAGGACACGCTGGAGGGACTATGTCTCTCAGCTGGCCTGGGAACGTCTAGGGGTCCTCCCGGACGAGCTGGAGGAAGTGTGTGTGGATAGGGAAGTCTGGGCGTCTCTGCTTAGACTGCTGCCCCCGCGACCCGGCAACGGATGAAGCGGAAGAAAATGGATGGATGGATGGATCTTAAAAAACGCCAGGCAGTCAATGCGTTAAAAAGAAGCCTGTTGGGATGAAAAGGTGGCATAAAATTCAAAATCTTGAACATAAAATCTTCCATACTATTCACACATACACTTCCTCCGGCTCATCTGGGAGAATCCTGAGGCAGTCCCAGGCCAGCTGAGTCCCTCTAACATGTCCTGGGTCTTCCCCTGGGGCTCCTCCCGGTCCATATGTTGGACTGAAACTGTACCGCGCCAAATCTTCCATTTCAGAGTGACTTTGAAATGATTTATGAAAATATATTTGTGCAGTAGAAATTCAAGACTTTATTCACAGCGCTGAGAACAGAGTCTTCCATTCCACAAATACGACCGTAAATCTGGCTTTAAGAGCAGAGTGTAGCCGTGATTTTACGATTGTGTGTGTGTGTGTGTGTGTGTGTTATTGTTACCTGCAGAGACTCCAAGAAGCGGAAGGAGCCCAGACGTCGACCTCGAGGAACCAGACAGAAAGTGGAGTTATGGAGCAGCTCCTGATAATCGAACCTGGACACAGAGAGAGGAGACTTATGAGGTCATTCTGTTCAGTTTAAATTTGTTCAACACTAAATCCCAACAGGAATAGATTAAGATTAGGAGATCTTTTACTCATCCCACAGCGGGGAAATGTCAGTGTTGCATCAGCAAGTATAAAATCTCTGTAGCTTTAGCATAATGAAGAAGCAAGTATAAAACCTCTAGCTTTAGTGTTATGAAGAACCAAGAATCAAGTATAAAGTCTCTCAGAAAACTTGGATTTCTCTACAATATATCAGAAAATCAAACAGTTAGGAAAATTATTATGCATTGCGTTGTCTTCTTGTGTTGTGTCTGTGTGCCATTCATTAGCCAAATTTTAGTTACACTGTCGAATCACTCTACAGATTAAAAACAAAAAAATCAACATTGTCTATGTAAAAACAGTGTGTGTGTGTGTGTGTGTACAGCAATGGTCAAAGGGCATGTATCAATCATAAAACAGTATAAATTACACAAACATGCGAGATTAGCTGCTAAAACAGATGAGATTGTGAGTGATGGCGGTGATGACCGGGGTCCAGCCGCAGCCGCAGCCGGAGCTGGAGCCGCAGCCGGAGCCGCAGCCGGAGCCGCAGCCGGAGCCGCAGCCGGAGCCGCAGCCGGAGCCGCAGCCGGAGCCGCAGCCGGAGCCGCAGCCGGAGCCGCAGCCGCAGCCGGAGCCGCAGCCGGAGCCGCAGCCGGAGCCGCAGCCGGAGCCGCAGCCGGAGCCGCAGCCGGAGCCGCAGCCGCAGCCGGGTCAGACGTTGTGATAAGTGGTGTCCTTTCTAAACTCATTTGTCCTGCACTTGTCCTGTGGCGACCTCTTCGGCCTCAGACACATCTCCAAACGTCCCACTGAGGCCGCTGTCAAAACTAGTCAGGTCTGAACCTCATTCTGCAGCAGCACGAGATCAAGGGTAGTGTAGGTGTTGAGTGTGTGTGCGTGCGTGTGCATGTGTGTGTGTGTGTGTGTGTGTGTGTGTGTGTGTGTGTGTGCGTGTGTAAACGGAATCAGAATTATAGTCATTGCCATTGTATTTGCTTATGATTGTGTGTAACTTTTGCTGCCTCTTGTCCAGGACTCCCTTGAAAACGTTTCTTAAAGGGTTCTTAATCTCACTGGGGTAAAATAAAGGTTAATTATAATACAAATCTTAAGTAATAGAAAGTCACAAACTGGGGATTTGCTTTGGCCCAAGGTGCAAACAAGTTTTTAGAGTACAATTAGATACATACAAGTAAAATAGATAGATGCATACAATCGCACTAGAATCTGGAAATCAGACGCCCAAAACATTCCTCTTAAAGTTCATAAAATAATAATGACAGAATATTCCTTTAGTTTAAAATATTAATCTCGGGGGGATCAGGCGCCAACACAACTCTGAGAGAAAGACATGTTGAGAAAAGCCCAAATATTTTCCCGGATAATTATTTGACAGTGACTAGATTCAAAAACTCTATAATCTCTAATCTATGTTGGTGAATCGACGACATTGTAAAGTTCTCTGCGATAACTAATGGGGTGATTTAGGGCTATAACAAAATAAATCAAATTGTATTATTTAATCTTATATCTGAAAGTCCTTCCCACTGGCCAACGTCATCATGTATTTGAATATTGTCACCACCTCCAGACTCCAACTTATTTGTATAACACAATATTTTATAACATTGATAACATTTACCATTAGCCCCGTTTTCACCAGCCCTACTCTACTCTACTCTACTCTACTCTACTCTACTCTACTCTACTCTACTCTACTCTACTCTACTCTACTCTACTCTACTCTACTCTACTCTACCCTACCCTACTCTACCCTACCCTACCCTACCCTACCCTACCGTATATACAAGCCCTATTTAACTGGTACCAGGTACTTTTTTTGTATAAAACAGGCCGAGCTGGTACTGGTACAAGAGTTCTGACTGACAGTGATTGGCTGGATTGCTAGGATTTGGCACCAGATAACAGTAGAGTAGAGTAGAGTAGGGTAGAGTAGAGCAGGACCGGTGGAAACGGGGCTAAAGTTACCAGAAAAATGGCCGCCACCATAATTTTAAGCTCTTTGGAATTCTGCTCTCATCTCGTCTCTATATTCCACCGCCGCTGATATAGAGCAGTATTTTTTTTTACGGTTTCAGCTTTAATTTGAGTCTATTTATGTCTGTGTGGTGTGAACGCTCTCCAACATTTTGAAACTACCCACTCTTCTCCATAAAATTGTCAGAAATTGTTTTTCTGATCTTCATCCAAATCACAAGGATAAACACACACAGCCTGAGTGTATTCATGAACACACAACTGCAAGTGTCAGTATTTTTACACTGTTTCAGCTTCTACACTTCTCCCAGGACTTCATTTGTCCAAAAGAAATACTGGAAATACAAAAACGTTGAAACGTTTGGTTATTTGTTATTTCCATTTACATAAAGATAACAGAAGTCACATCTACTACTACCACTGCTATCACTACTACTACCATTTCTACTGCCACAACTACCAGTACTACCACAACACTAATTCTACTACCACTACTTTTACTGTAGTGGCCAAAGTCCGCTGGATGTAGTGTGTGTGTAGTGTGTCTCTCGCCATCAAGACAGAGCGAAATACAATCATTTATTGATCCAAATACACAAATATTACACTATAAACTGAGGTAACAAGCACTGGTCGAAGCGGGGGTTGTCCACACACAACACCTGTCTGTCATCGGTGCCCCACTTATATAGGGCGCATACAACCGAGGTGGCAGGAGGCAGCAAAAGAAAACGGCCAAATGGCTCCAACAATTACCACTACTACAACTACTACTACTACCACTACTCCTACTGCCACAGAGTAGTAGTTCCAGGAGCAGGTGGACTTACAGGTGCGAGCTGCTGGGGATGTGACCCAGAGGGAGGGGAGAAAAAAAAAACTTACTGAGCTCCTTTGAATGGGCTTAGGGATGTGCCTACAGTGATTCCAGAAATATGGTTCAATTTTCTGTGGTCAGATCTACCAATGGATACCAGGTGTATACCAGGTGGATAACAGGTGTATACCAGGTGTATACCAGGTGTATACCAGGTGGATACCAGGTGGATACCAGGTGTATACCAGGTGGATACCAGGTGGATACCAGGTGGATACCAGGTGGATACCAGGTGGATACCAGGTGGATACCAGGTCAATTAATGACATATTTTAGTCTTTTTTGTCTTCTTCGGTTGGTCTTTCCAATGTTTCCTTACACAACTACTACTACTACCACAACTACTACTACCACAACTACTACCACAACTACTACTACTACCACAACTACTACTACTACCACAACTACTACTACTACCACAACTACTACTACTACCACAACTACTTCCACAACTACTACTACTACCACAACTACTACCACAACTACTACTACTACCACAACTACTACTACTACCACAACTACTACTACCACCACAACTACTACCACAACTACTACCACAACTACCACTACTACCACAACTACTACTACCACAACTACTACTACTACCACAACTACTACTACTACCACAACTACTACCACTACCACAACTACTACTACTACCACAACTACTACCACAACTACTACTACCACAACTACTACTACTACCACAGCTACTACTACTACTACCACAACTACTACCACAACTACTACTACTACCACAACTACTACCACTACCACAACTACTACCACTACTACTACTACCACAACTACTAAAACTACCACAACTACTACCACTACCACTACTACCACAACTACTGCTACTACTACCACAACTACTACTACTACTACCACAACTACTACCACTACCACAACTACTACCACTACTACTACTACCACAACTACTACTACTACAACTACCACAACTACTACCACAACTATTACCACAACTACTACCACAACTACTACTACTACCACTACTACTACTACTACTACTACTACCACAACTACTACTATGTATTTTACTACTACCACTACCACTACTACCACAACTACTACTACTACTACTACCACAACCCCAACTACTACTACTACTACTACCACAACTACTACTACTACTACTACCACTACCACAGCTACTACTACTACCACAACTACTACCACAACTACTACTACTACCACAACTACTACTACTACCACAACTACTACTACTACCACAACTACTACCACAACTACTACTACTACTACCACAACTACTACCATTACCACAACTACTACTACTACCACAACTACTACCTCAACTACTACTACTACCACAACTACTACTACTACTACCACAACTACTACTATGGATTTTACTACTACCACTACCACTACTACCACAACTACTACTACTACTACTACTACCACAACCACAACTACTACTACTACCACTACCACAACTACTACTACTACTACTACTACCACTACCACAGCTACTACTACTACCACAACTACTACTACTACTACCACAACTACTACTACTACCACAACTACTACTACTACCACAACTACTACCACTACCACAACTACTACTACTACCACAACTACTACTATTACCACAACTACTACCACAACTACTACCACAACTACTACCACTACCACAACTACTACCACAACTACTACCACAACTACTACCACTACCACAACTACTACTACTACCACAACTACTACTACTACCACAACTACTACCACTACCACAACTACTACTACTACCACAACTACTACCACAACTACTACTACTACTACCACAACTACTACTACTACCACAACTACTACCACTACCACAACTACTACTACTACCACAACTACTACTACTACCACAACTACTACAACTACCACAACTACAACCACTACCACTACTACCACAACTACTACTACTACAACTACCACAACTACTACTACCACAACTACTACTACTACTACTACTACCACAACCACAACTACTATTACTACCACTACCACAACAACTACTACTACTATCACTACCACAGCTACTACTACTACCACAACTACTATCACTACCACAACTACTACTACTACAACCACAACTACTACTACTACTACCACTACAACTACTGCTACCACTACTGCTCTTGCTTATTGTGTTTCATGTAGCTAGCGTGTTAGCATTGTCCCTCTACACACAGTTTATGTTAGTGAGTCACTATTTGACACTTATGGATGAGAGCTGATTGGCTGAGGGAGTTTTAGAACCAAACTGTTTCTAGAGAGATAAACTAGTTACATGGATTGCTATTACATCCTTTAGTGATGCTTTGAAAGATAGGTACCCAAGCTTTATCTAAGCACCGCGGCTTTACCGGCATCTGAACATACTGTAAATATAGAGATGGATTTAATCTCATCTGCGACGCCACGCTCTGGGCTCTACTGAAATAATCCTCGGCCATAAAGCAGTGTAATGAAACTCTGATATACGACACTTAGCATCTGCTGCCTGTAAAATAAAACACAGTTATTGTTGCTTTCATTTTCATCTTTTCATCACGACGTCTCCGATTATGAACTCGCTCGTAAATCTGAACACGTCGAACGCACACACACACGGCTGGAGACGGCGGCGTGGGCAGTGGTGCTAAAGTAAGTACCCTGTGATTGGCTCAGACCGACTCTCACTGATGCCGCTTCACTTCACACTTCAGCTGTGATGTCGCATGTGAAAAAGTGACAAGCGAAACTAAAAAAACTAAACAAAGAAAAGTACTGGATCCATGAGCTGAATGGATTGTGGTGCGG